CCCCCCCATGCCAGACACCCCAACTCCCGGGCCCAGTGTGGAGTCCACTGGCCCAAATGTGCGGTCCACTCAAGCAGGAGAGGCAGAACATCCAGGGAGTGTAGGAGGAAACTACTGTCTTTACTCCTTCTGTGCATACACCTTGTGATAGACAGTGTGCTGTGACAGACAGTGTGCTGTGATAGTGTGATAGACAGTGAACTAAGGGCTAACACGGGACCTGTCAGTGCCAGACACCCAGTACTTGCCAAAAAACATCAACTCTACGACTGTGAATCATCTCCACTTTACAAATGAGGAAACTGAGGCACAGAAGAGTTAAGTTCAAAGACTCCTACGGAAAGGCCACACAGCTGAGGGCTAGGATTCCAGCCAGGCGCTGTGGCTCCAGGGGGTGTTCTCTCAACATTTGGCCACACTGTCCTTGTGCACATGATTTATCAATCACACGATGGGGCTTGTAACAAAAACGACATACTGATGGCGTGTATCTCCCTGTCTCACACACACACCCCTTAGATTTAGAATTGGCACCTTCCTACGCATCAATTTCACTGGAAACCGCCATCTATGGAGCACCAGGACCTGTACACATCCCCTATCCCATGAGTGCTCTGAAGCACAGAGAGGTTAAGCAATTTCATCAAGGTCACACAGTAGATCTAATGCCACGAAATGGTAAGAGAAAGCAGAGTGGAAAATGTAGGCTTTGGAGGCAGAAAGACCCACGTGGCTGTGTGACTTTGGGTAGAAACCTTGACCTCTCTGAGCCTCAGTGTGTGCCTAATTTTAGTCCCCCAGTAAGGTTAACATCATGACCTGTTGGGAAAAATCAAAGTTCTACATACAGATGTCTCCTACCCCACCCCTGTCACAGTTCCTGTAGTTGTTATTTCTACTCTGAGGAAGAATCTCAAGGAGTAGGGGACAGAGTAAGTCCCAGGAGTAGTTCCTCAGATGAGTCCACAACTGGACTTCACACCTGCCTCTTGCTGGAGGGAGGAGAGAGGCGAGTGGCCTGACTGCCCCCCAGGCCTGCCCCCTCAGGCACCCTGCCCACCCAGCCTGGTCACCTCCTGCCTCGCGGCCTCCAGGCTGGTCTCGCCCTTCAGCAACTTCTGCCGGAGTCCCAGGGCCTCCCGTCGGCTCTCCTTTTCTGTCCGCTCACCCAGCGCCAGGTGGCCCTGCAGCTCCACCAGCTCCCGGCCCAGCCTGGCATTCTCACTGTCCAGCAACTTCATCTGGGGAGACAGTGGACACAGAGAGGGTTTGAGATGCATTCTTGGTACCCACGGTCCTGCTAGCCCAGGGTGGTGTTTGAATGCCCACAGGCAGTTTACTCAGTCTGCCCCAAATGCTGTCCAGTCCAGGCCTGGCCCAGAGGGCACTCAGGACCCACAGCTCCAGGGATGCCTGCAGCAAACATCAGCAAAGCCGCTGGGCTCCTGCCCCAGACAACTCCACTGAGGTTAAGCCGGACCAGACGCTTGGGCACCAAGGACCTTAGTTTACTGCCTACTCCTAACTCACTTCAGTGAGGGCTGAACCCCAAGAAAACCAGAAGCTCTGCAAGGGCAAGAACCCTCCCTTGGCTACCTTGCAGCACCCACACCCCTTTTGCCATCACTGTACAGTGTACATTCCGCCCTACGTCCGTCACTCATATTCCTTCATTTCATTTTCACACACTTCTAAATGGGGTAGGGACTCACAGCATCCTATTTAATACATGAGAACACTGAAGCTCAGAGAGGTAAAGTGACTGCTCCAAAGTCACACAGCCCACAAGCAGCAGACTGATGGAACCTAAACGTGTGTTCTAAGCCCTATTTATAGTGATGGGAACACGAGACCACGCCAGAGCAGCCGAGCTCCAGGACGAGCCTGGCACACGCATATGGAGCACCTTTCAGGGGCTCCTGTGGATCCCCCAGGACTTCAACCCACCAGGACATTTTTAGCTTTTTAAAGTATGTTCAAACTGCTTTCCAAAATGGCTGCTCACCCTACATTCCCAGCAACAGTGTGACAGGAGACCTCCTTCTCCACATCCTCTCCGGCACATGTTGTTGGGCTTTAACATGTGTAAAGGGCTGAAAGTGGTTTTGTTTTTTTTTTTTTCTTTTTTTTTTGGGTGGGAATCAGGCATTGGTTTTTTTTTTTTTTAATAATACAATAGTTTATTTTTACGTCATTTTGTGCCTTTTTCCATCTCAGTTGTCATCCCCGTGGGCTTCCCATCACCAAATCACCCTGTGCCATCACCATAGTCTGTGCACTTCCCTCCCTCCACCGTTTTTGATCCCATTCCCCACTCTACCCCATCAAACGTCTGTGGTATATAGCTGTTCATTATTATTATTATTCCCCACCCCCCCACCCTGGTCCTTTATACTCCTGCTATGAGTGAAAACATCCAGTATTTTTCCTTTTCTTTCTGGCTTATCTCACTGAGCATGATGCCTTCCAGCTCCATCCATGTGGCTGCAAAAGGCGTATGTTTAGAAAGTGGTTCACTTGTAAATGGTTGACAGTCAAAAGAACACTATTTCTTAACGCATAAAAATGATATAAACACCTAGTTTCTGCTCCATAAGCAAAGTTGTCACGGCACGCCCCCATTTACGGGGGGCGCGGGGGAGCAGCTTTCCCTTCTGGCATCTTTTCATGATGCCAGAGTTGATGGCTGCAGCAGGCCGCAGAGCCCAGAAAGTTGGAACCTTTACTCTTGGGCTTTCCCAGAAACGCTTGGGAGCTTCCTACTAATTCAACCTTCTGTTGTTCAGATTTTTAAAAACTGGACAAACACTCCAGACCTCCTCCTTGGAGAACAGTGAATGAGTATGTACACACACACACACAACACACACACACACACACACTTTTGTGCACAGTTTCAGGGGTTCAAGGACTCCCCAAAGCCCATCCATCAATATCGGTATTAGCTAAGAAGACGTCTTATAGCTCCGGCCCCTGGTTTCACATGGTGGGGGGTGTTATGGGTCCAGGGGCGCGCAGCCACATGAGGGGGGGGTAGGGTTGGGGGCGAACCTGTCTCCGGAGCTCCTGCAGCTCCCTGCGTGCCTCCAGCCGGGAACGCTCTACCTCCTGCAGCCCCGCCCGCAGGTCCCCAGCCTCCTTGCCCACGGCCACGCGGGCCTTCTCCAGGAGTGCCAGCTTCTGCTCCTTCTCCTCATTAGCAAGCTTCAGGCTGGAGGGGGGTGCAGGGCAGAAGGTGGAGAGCAGAGGTCAGAGGGACACCCAAGTCCTGACAGAGTTCAGTGTGCGGCTCTACACCCCTCCCCCGAGTTCCTGGCACTTGTCTGGCCAGCGCTGGGCCTGGAGGCACCCAAGTGCAGCCTGGCCAGGGGGTTCCTCTGAGCTGAGCCACCAGGCCTGGCGTGCCCTCAGCTCAGAGAAGTGGAGGGTAGTAGGGCTGGGGTGGGGTGCAAGGTGATGGCAAGATTGTGGGTTCAGAGTCTGGACCCCCTCACCGACCATGACCGAAGTGCCAGGCTGTAGTTTAAAGACAGAAACTCCCCGCCAGTGTGACGCCCCCAGAACCTCAGTGGTGAAGTCTGACTCCCGGGGTGACATTTACTGGAAAGGGCAGGGCTCGTGAAGGCCTAGGGGGCTGCCCCCTGTCACCCCACCTGATCCGCTCGCTCTCGGCCTTCTTCACGGCAGCCCGCAGCTCCTCGTTGGACCTCCGCAGGGCCTCGCGCTCCTTGGCGCCTTCACCCAGGCTGCGCCGCAGCTCCGCGGCCTCCTGCCGCTGGGCCTCGTGGCCGTCCTGGCCCTCACGCACCTTGCGCTGGGCCTCCAGCAGCTCCCGCCGCAGCCCGTCCCGGGCATCCTCCAGCAGGCGCTGCTGCGTCCGGAGCTCCTCCGCCTGCAGACAGGCGATGGCCCCACTGAGCCCGGTCTTGGGGGAAGCCAGCCCATGCCGCTGGCAACAGGGCAAGCCGCCAGCCCTGCGCCGCCCTCAGGCAGGGTGCCAGTCTGCTGGGGTCGTGGAGTAAGAGCCTGAGCTAATCGTTCACCAGGATCAGCCTCTGAAGGACCCCAAGAGGACAGAGCCCCTGCCTAACCCCACCTTGAGTGGCCCAAGTCTCCCACGGGTTTAAGAAATGCTCGCTGCCTCCTTCCTAAGCTGGCTGTTCTCGCGTCCTCCAATGCAGGGACAAATCTTGCACTCCTCTGAGCAGAGACAGGGAGCAGTCTCACCTCACGCAGGCAGGACTCCCGCTGCCTGGCCAGGTCTCGGGCCTGCTCCTGCAGCCTCTTCACCTCCTGGGCGTGAGCCGCCTCAGTCTCCTCAAGCTGGGCCCGCAGGTCCCGCAGCTCGGCCGTCAGGACATTCACGGTGCTCTGGGGCAGAGAGACGCCTCAGACCCGCCCGCCACACCCTGTGCCTGCTGCTCCCAGCTGGGTCGGCTGAACCCTGCCCTTGCTGCTGGCCCACCTGACCCTCAGCTGTCCACACAGATAGAGAATCCACCAATCGGGCCCAGCTGGGGCTGCCTCCCTCCGATGGGGACTCCCAGGGAAGCCTGAACTCGCCCTCAGCCTGGAGGCTTCCCCAGGCACGGCAGCCTCCCCCCGACGGGGCTCCCCCAGGCAGGCCTGGAGGCCCACCCTACCCGGTCCTGCTCCTGGCGGCTCTGAGCGTCCCGCTTCTGCCGCTCCATCTCCAGGGAGACGGCAGCCAGGCTCTGCTGCGTGCCCATCAACTTCTCTGACAGCGCCGTCTTCTCGGACTCCTTCAGGGACAGGGCCTGGGCAGAGCGGAGCAGAGGGCCTGGTGCTGGTTGGTTCTGAGGGCACGATGGGCTCTCCCTTCACCCCCGCCTGGGAAATGTGCCCACTGGGGGCGCGACTGGTCCACCACAGGTGGCCTCCAGGGCAGGGTGGGCCTCAAGCCCGGCCTGGGCTCACCCTGTCCGCAGCCTGCAAAAAGGCCCCGACACAAACACACTGTCCATCTTGGAGTCGCCTCGGCAGCCCTGCTGGGGCCCTCCGGGTGTTGCCGATTTACAGACAGACCGGGGCTCAGAGGGGTAGCGACTTGCCGGGGTGTCCCCTCTGGTCAGGAGAGGAGACCCGTGCGGTCTGCCCTCCTCAGCACACATAGGAAAGTAGTCAGAGCTGGTTCTTCTTGCAGAGGGCCTCGTGAGGACTGCCCAGAGGCAGGCATGGGGACCCCGTGCCTAGCCTGGGGCGGGGGGAGGAGAAGGGAGAATGGAATCCCCGTGGCTGCCTCCAGCCAGCTCCCACCGTGTGCCAGGCTGGGGCTGCTGAATGTGGTCACAGTGACACTTCATGGACACCCCCATAACTGTCCCATCCTGCAGTGAGGAAATGGAGGTCCAGACAGGGACACCTAGGTCCTAGCTGCTGAGGGCTGGGCAGGGACCAGCCCCGTAGGGTCCCTGGGGCGTTTACAAACCTGCTGCTTCTCGCTCTCGGCCAGCAGGAGGCCCTCGTCCCGCTCCTGCTGCAGGGCTGCGATCTCCTCGCTCAGCTCCTCCTTCTCGGCCTCCAGGCGGGCCAGCAGCTCCTCCCGCTCCCGCTGCAGCTGGCTCTGCAGCTGGGCCCGCTCTGCCTCCAGCTCCCGCCAGGCCACCTCCTGGGGGTCAGGCCCGGGCACATGTGACCCAGTGGGCCCAGGCAGCCCGTTGCCAACCAACAGAGCCACCGGTGCTCCAGAGCCCGAGGACAGGCCAGGTGGGTGGTCACCACAAACAAGGGAGGTGAGAGGGCTGTGTGGGGGGCCCAGGGAGCTTTGAGCCCCAAGTAGCGGCCACCTGTTCTGGGGGTCAGAAAACATCTGGAGGACAGAGGCTCAGCAGTCAGTCAGGTAAAGAGAGAACAGAAGGGCTTAACGCGCAGCACTGTGAGGCTGTCCGCAGTCCCTGCAGCAAGACTTTGGTCCCCGGCCAGGGAGTGACCCACAGGGTGCAGCAGACCTCTCTTGTCTCCCTGCTGCTCCCCTCAGCAGTGTATTTCAGTCCATCTGCCTGTTCTGCTCCTGACTCTGTCTCTGGTGAATCCTCTTGCCCCCTGTACCTCTGGCCTGTACCCCAGTTTTTGTGTGCATAAATAGATAAATCTTTAATAAGAAAGAAAGTGGCCCTCCCTGGTGGCACAGGGGGTTAAAGCACAGCACTGAGAAGCTAAAGCCACTTCCGCATGAGTTCGATGCCC